CTGCTGATATCTAGCCTTTGGTTCGCGTGTCTCGCTTCCCTTGCTAGTGGAAGGAGACTTTAATAGAACGGAGGAGTGATTCATGCTGAGGAAGAAAATTATCTCTTATCTAGGTTGCCTCTAAGCCAGTCCTACCAGAGCTGACTTTATCCTTGAGAGGCTGAAAAGTTGGTCTAAAAGGTAAATATTTGTTCTCTAGAGTGTCTGAGATTGATCTGAAATCCAGGTGTCTGGTGCGGTTGCCGGTGGGAAGGAAGCTACGCTTGTCTGTGTTCACACAGCGCAGTGCGATTCAACCTGCAAGGAGAACAAAAACTGTTCTGGAGGAGCATAATTAAAAACTTGCTGAAATCTGTGTAACCTCATCGACTAAGCAATGTTTTTCTTCCACCTCTGTTACGATAGTACGTCTGAGGAGCGGCTGAGGGAACTGGGTTTGTTTAGCTTAGAGAAGAGGAGGCTGAGGGGAGACCTTATCGCGCTCTACCACTACCTGAAAGGAGGCTGTAGTGAGGTGGGTGTTGGTCTCTTCTCCCATGTAGTTAGCGATAGGACGAGAGGAAATGGGCTCAAGCTGTGCCAGGAGAGGTTTAGGTTGGAAATTAGGAAAAATTTCTTCACGGAAAGGGTGGTCAAGCATTGGAACAGGCTGCCCAGAGAGGTGGTGGAGTCACCATCCCTGGAAGTGTTCAAAAAAATGGGCAGATGTGGCACTTCGGGACATGGTTTAGTCTAGTCTGGCCTTGATTGGTTTAGTGTGGACTTGGTAGTGTAGGTTAATGGTTGGACTGGATGATCTTAAAGGTCTTTTCCAACCTAAATGATTCTATGATTCTGTGGGAGAGAAAGCTAAGAAGTCTAGCTCCTGGCTTTTCTGCTCTCCCAGCACTGAGGTTCCTGGGATATCAGCACTCTTCTGCATCTTAAGAAAGTCACTGGAGCTTTGCTAAGTCAACTGGGAGGAAGTTCAAATACTTGGCAGTGTGGCTTTTCTTCAGGGTTGTATAGTAGGACACTTAGGGAGGCTTTTGTAGTACCAAGTAGAATGTTTCCATACCCTTTCTTTTAAAAACTGCAGTGGAAATTCTGCATGGCTTTCTGTAGCCAACCTGCCCCTGCCTTGATGATTGCCCAGTAGCAGGAACAGAAAGTGAAACTGGCTGGTCTGTTGGTCGTGAGATGTGCAGTAAGTGGAAAAAATGTATAAAACTAAACCAGATGAGCTTTGCAGTCCTATTATTATCATCTTTATGGAGAAAGCTGTCAGTGGTAGGAACAAGCCAAGCCAATTCTTCTGTAATTAGCCCCATACAATTACATGGTATTTAGCGATGTTTGGCTTGAGCTCTAAGTTCTTGTGTATGACAGGGAGTTTCTGATGAGAACATGAAGTTTAGATATCTAGAGTGAATATGTTGCAGTTAACCTAATCATTTAAAATCTTTTCATGCTCCTTTAGCTTCTGTCTTAAAGGTCATTGAAATCTAGACCTGGGATGCCCTTTTTAGCCTTTGCACAGCATCAGTTAGTGTTCTATTTTTGAGCACTGGCTAGCATTGGATATGAGGGAAGCTACTTTGGAAGGGTTTGTAGTATTTGCGGTTTATTTGCTACTTTATTGCTTGGCAGTAGTTCATACTCCTGATTTTTGAGGGAGATTGCTGTGGCTTGAGCCGTTGCTGCTGAGTGTTTCTCTGCTGTACCTAACCTCAAAATTACTTTTGCTGCCTCTTTGGATTCTTCCGCTTCCAGCAGAGGAAAGTAGGCCTTCTGGCTTAACCTGAGCACAATCTGAAGAGCTCCCTAGCCCAGAGCTCAGCAGTGGCACAGATCATCTCTTGACCTAAGCCAAGCATATCACTTGGGTCTTGGTCCTGCCTTGAGCTGTGCGTAAATTGATTCTCCCTGCCCTCCTGTTGAAGAGGGCTTGCTGTAGGTTTGGGATCTCTCATTCATGCCTTGGTTTCTCTGTCTTTTTACAGTGCATCTTTTCTTGAAAAGGTAATGGAACTCCTTTAGCTATAAGACTCATTGTATGCATTTGCTGAGTATTACCCATCTGTGTATAATTCCAATACAGCTGTTGGTTTTACATCTAAGATGTCTACAGCTCCTGTCCAAGGAAGTTCTATAGTTTAGATGGTAAGTGGGGTGTGCGATTAACCTTGTGTGTCTGGCTCTTTCAGAACAGGGCAGTCGGACGGCCCAAAGGGAAACTGGGCACTGCTTCTGCGGTAAAGCTCGCAGCTAATCGGACAACCGCTGGAGCACGTCGGAGGAGGACGCGATGCCGCAAGTGCGAGGCGTGTCTGCGGACAGAGTGCGGCGAGTGTCACTTCTGCAAAGACATGAAGAAATTTGGGGGACCTGGCAGGATGAAACAGTCCTGCATTATGAGGCAGTGTATCGCAGTAAGTGTACCTGTTGGCTACAGCTCATTTGGAGATTTCTTTCCTCTGTCTGTCTCCTGGTGACAAGGTGTGGAACCTGAGAACTCTGCTCTGAGTAGTCTCTAAAGTGCATCAGGCAAAACGGGGATCTCAATTCAGATCTCTTCTTCCCGTTGCTTTTCTCCCCTCCCTCCCATCTTAAACCAGAATGCTCCTAAAGCTTAGTAGCATAGCTTTCATTCTCAGTAATGTAGAAGGCAAATGTGGATATTATCAGTACACCAGAAATTGGCACTCAAATCACACTGAAATTCTGGAATTTGGGGGAGGAGGGGAAGGGTGGGAAGTTCTGATTCAAGGGAAAAGAGGCCTGTTTGGTTTGGATCTCTGAATTTCTTGAGAAAAGCTGCCTTGCAACTATCTTTACCATCTTAACTACTTAACCAACTTAAGATATGGAGCAATCTTTGACTGGCATCCTCTGAGACTTTGGCGTTGGTGACCCCAGCCCCAGGCTACTTGAGACCTTAATTTCAATTTATTTGCTGTTACCTAGACATATAGGAAGGATCTGATCCAGATGAGCCAAAGAGCCATCAAGCCAGGGTCTTGTCTTACTCAGGGACTGGAAATGGCTGTTGGGGGATGAGCGTCAGAACAGGGCAAGCAGGCAGTCAGTTTCCTGGGCTCCTGTGATAGGAGAAGCTCAGAAGCTTCTTGAGTCATAAGTGATGGCTTTGTGTTTAACAAATATTGACAGATTAATCTTCCATTAAGTTGTCCAAGCACCTTTTGAATCTGTTGCTTTCATACTGACTGTCGAGGAGCTTCTCCTCAGGTCTCATGTCCACAGTGCCCCCATTCAAGAGTAAAAATTAGCCTTAGCTTTTCTCTTAATTCTTTGGAAAGTCTTGATTATGCTGTTGTTAAGGGTATGGTTTTCTGTTGTGTATTTTTAAGGAAAGGAATGTTATTTATTCATAACTGAAATGTCACCCCATCTATACTGATTTCTCTGTAACTCTTGTTACAGTTCCTTTCATTTAGGGTTTTGTTTTGTTTTTTTTTTTCTTTAATTCTGATGAGGAAACTGAAGTGGAGGCATTAAATGACTTGGTCTGACACTGATTAAAAAAAAAAAAACTGATAAGCACTTCAGGTTTCCAGTAGTTGCTCCTGGTAGCTCACTCCATGTCCTGTTCTAAGCCATGCACTGTTCTTGACATAGAGGATTGGATTCAGCTCTGCTGGATCTTTCAGTAAAGTACATAGAATATCTACCTTTCCACAGAGTGCTTTCGCAGCTCAAGTGTCTTTTTCTTTGAACACTTGATTTCCTGGAGTGTGGCATGAATTGAACAGCATGGATGAAGAATTTATTATTCTCTAGGGGGAAGAAATAGTGAAATCGTGCTGCCTTTTTAGTGGAGGGATTAAATTAGGGCTGCAGTGTGCTTTCTTGTCCTGACTGATGAAGGAAACTTTCATACTAAGCTGTTTCAGTCTTGATACACAGGCTGAGCCCTTTGGAGATGAACTGGGTTCTCTTCTGGCTGAGTGTAGTCATACTCTCATCCCCTTTGTTCTGACGAAGAAGTTTGGTTTTTTTTTTGTTTCTTGGTATCTGCAGTTTTATTTCTAGGAGCTGTGGTTAGAGTACAGGGCTTGGTAGCCAGGGTACTCTGTTGCCTTGTCCCACCCTTGAATGCACTGAAGAAGACCTCTCTACCCTTCATAGGTTCCCAGTGGTGTAAATATCAGGGGGAGTATTACAAACTTTCTTAGAGCAGCAAAAGCACAGAAAATTAACAAGTTGAACTGTTGTAACTTTTAATGGTGCCTTACATTTCTATAAGCAATCCTATCGTCTTTACTCTTGTTCATTATGTTCTCCAACAATTGCAGTAGTAATGTATTGTGGTATCTATCCAACAGCTTCCAGCCAAAAAAAAAAAAAAAAACCCAAAACACCAAAGCAAGGTTCTGTGGAAGTAATGATCCCTACAGTTCTGGGATTGTGCTTTCCTCTGGTTAATAACATCGACAATATTAACTAGACACAGACTTTCATTAGACTCGGAAGCCTTAAGAGAGCCTGTACTGCTGTTCAGAGAACAGGAAACTCCTCTGCATCACTAGTTCAATCAAGAAAGAAAACAGGAGTGCCTGGGACACTTTATGCTGCGTTGAATAGGTCTGAAGGGAGTGTGGGGGCTCTGTGCTGGCAGGACGAGTTGTGACAGCATGGCTGCTGTTCCAGCCCGTCAGTGGGACGGGGCTAGTTGGGGCGCAGAGGAGATTCCCTAGACACCCTTGCTACGAGCAAGAAAAATTGTGCTGCTCCCGGGATGTTTGTTCTTGTGTGTGGATATAAATACTTGTTGTGTGGGAGATAGGACAAAACAAGTGGACAGAGCTCGTATGGCTCTAGACAACTTAGCTTTACTCTGGGTTACCTGCTGGTGGAATGGGATCCTGGGGATTCCTATTTTGTGCTTGGAGGAAGGGTGGGAATTAAATAGCATTTGCAGAATGCTTTTAAAATGCAGCGTGGGTAAGTACTGGCACAAGAAAGCAGGAAAGTGTTGCCGTAGCTAGTGTATCAGATGTTGGTGTGTGGGGCAGCACACTGTACGCTGTAATGGCTTACTGTAGCTGGGTTTTTCCCTATCTGAAACTTGCTGAAGGGATGCACTGTTGCTGCATAGGTTTGGTTCGGTGTGCAAGTATCTGCTCACGGATTTTATTCACTCCATCTATGAGAGATCCTTGCTGTGAAAAGCCACATCTGGCTACTTAAGGATTTGCAACCTAATTGATTGCATTTCACATTACAGCCAGCTTCTTATGAGGATCTTCCTTTTCTTTCTTGTAATGAGGCTTATACCTTATTGCCGCAAACCAGAAGTTTGTTCCTCATTAGCACAAAGGTGGCTTTTTAATTAGACTGGCATTCAGTGCTTTGACATGGGTGACAGGTATGTGAGATGCTGCAGTTCCCTTTCTACCTCAGCAAAAGGCAGGGAAAAAATGAGCGCGCTTCTCACTTGTGACACTTGCAGGAAAGGAATTATCTTTTTAAGTGTCTGTGTGCAATGCTCAGGTTGGGAGCAGGGCCCTAGATAATAGACTGTCAGTCAGAAGAAGGTCTGGTTTTGCTTCTGTTGTGGGCTTGCTGTGAGACCTGGATTGGGTCCCATAACATCTGTCTGCCCTGCTTGTAAAATAGGGGAGCTGCCAAATTGCTAGTTAGATTGTGAAGCTTAATGGATGTGAATAGTAATGTTCTAGGTTGCTGCTTTTCCTTCCTGTTGTACACTTAAGTGACTTGCATGCCAACATCTGTGTCAGCTCACAGATTCAAGGGACCCACCATAAAAAGAATTTTCATTCATCCCTGGGATGCCCTATGAATCTATGTTGCTAGAGGGAGGGCGCTTTCGTTCCATGAAACGTGTCCTGTGATGCTTGGGCTGGGTACCCAGCCCTGATTGTTACCAGTTTTTCTTGCCTTTGTTGCTCTGTTGGGCTGGAGCTTTCAGCAGTTTGCACAATTAATCCCTATTTATCTCCTTTTTGAGGATACTGTAAATGCACATTGAGTTCTTCTGTTTTGATATGTCTTCTGTGTCCTGATCAAGACTTCTTTCTGATATGTGTAAACAGCCGGTGTTGCCTCATACTGCTGTGTGTCTGGTGTGTGGAGAAGCTGGGAAAGAAGACACTGTGGAAGAGGAGGAGAGCAAGTTTAATCTCATGCTAATGGAATGCTCCATTTGTAATGAAATAATACACCCAGGATGCCTTAAGGTGAGTACAAGGATGTGATACACCTTGGAAACAAAAACTGGATTGCTTATCACCTTAATATAAAGGTAGTGCACAGAAATTAGAAAGTTTTCACATTTTTGTCTTTGGAAACTTAAGTGAGCCACTTAAGAGGTTGGTGCAAGAGGCAGGGTGGCAGCTGTGGCACACGCAGTCGTGACTGGCAGGTGAGGATCCTCTGATGTAACCAGCATCCCCTGTAAGCAGAGACTCTTGCCTTGGACAGCTCGAAATATGTGTAGATGCAAATGTCTTGGTGGGGGGGGTTGTTTTGTTTTTCTTTCTTTCTTTTTTGCCCCTTATTTAAGGAAGTGAGGAGTTTCAGTTGGGACAGGAAGCTCAAGAGGACAGAGAAATCTGCCTGTACTTTTGGATGAGTTAGTCACAATCCTCATATCGGTGGCTCCTTCCTGTGTCCCACAAAGTACAAATGAGTAGTTTGCTGTTTGCATTTGTCCAGGCACAGATGTGCCTTTCAGTGGCAGTTGGCTTTAAAGATGTTATGAGCAAATGTTACAGTAAGAAGACTGCAGCTCTGGAGAACAAACTGAGTGAGTTTCAGGCTGCAGGAGTGCTCACCTTTGGCTGACTTGAGTCCTGTGAGCGGCTGTATTCTTTGCTGTTAACAAAAGTGTCATTTTGGGCATATCTTTGTGTATTAGCATTTAGAAGCCTCCTTTCTCCAGAGCTGGTTTGTTTCAGCTGATCAGCTATTTCCTGTTGCTGATTTGTTTATGGTTAAAGTGATTTGCCAAAGCAAATGTATTCTGACACACCATGCCCCAGAAAGCAGCTCTTGGCCCTTCTGGGATCTCTGGAAGGAGAGGTACGTTCCTTATGCAGGCCCGGGGTGATGATCTCCCGGCTTTTTATTTTTCTTGCGCTGTATATAGTATTGCACCAAGCTATGTGTGTGTCGCTTATTAGAGCAGAAAGTAGGTAGCTGGCAAACCAGAACTGTGGCCGTCTCCCTGATTCATGAAATTGGTGCTCACAGCTCCTGCCACAGATGGGCTCCAAAAGGGAGCTTTGCTTGCTTGGCTCTGCTTAAAACAAGGCTTCGGGGGCTGATGAAGCAAGGGAAGGGAGCTGCTCATTTTGAGGTACCTCAATTTTGGCTTGTAGCTGCCGCTGCTTTCCTATTCCAGTCCTTCCTGAAAGTGCCCTGTGCTCCCCCATCTCTCGCTTTGCAGTGTCAGTGACGCTTCATGGCTGAGTCCAGAAGACATGATTGTTGTCTAATGGCAGTTCATATACGGTTTCCTCTCCCCATACCACATTTGGGACTAGTTGCACAGGATGTGGGTCAGATCTGTGAAATCAAGCAAGTGCTGTTTGTTCTTTTATGCATGTGTGGTGTTCTGAGTGCTGTTTTGGTAACTAGGAACAATGTTGCTTTGGGTATTTCTGAAAATTAAGCAGTGGGAGATTTACGGTGTGCCTTGTGTGTCTTGTATTTTAATTTCTCAGTGCTTCTGTTGGGCTGGAATGGTGGGTTAACTGGTACTGTTTATTTACTGAGACAAAGGGCACTGGTAGGATTTTGGTCTTGGAAGGTGAGATGAGCCTATGAGCAAAAGGAAAATGGAGCCTCTTCCTTGGTTCCCTCCTTGCTCTTTATTCCTGGATTCCATGTTTTTCTGCGAGACAGAAATCTGTTGCCATGTTTGGCTGTTGTTCGAGCCCCTGATGTGGGCTTAAGCCCAGAGGATGGAGCCCATAAATAGTCCTTGTGGGAAGTGCCTTTGAATGCAGACACAGCCCCAGGGCAGCTGCTTCGGCTGTCCACCAAGAGGGGACCCTTCCTGTCCTACTCGGTAAATAGGCAGTAGTACATGTGAACTGTCAGTCATCTCCAGTTAAGTGTCTGGCAAATGTACTTTTGGGGGAGACTGGAATAAACTGGATCAGTGAAGGGAGGAGTGTCCTTTCCTGGCTTATTCCCATGTGGAGTGAATTCCTTTCAAGTTGCATCTCCAAAACTTGGGGAGTAGTTTGGCACATACACTGGCTAATTTGTACTCCAGGGCAGGTTGTTCCTGGTTTGAAGTCCATCCTCTTCCAGCTTCCTGATTTGTCTGTACATGTTTGTGGTGCGTTTTCTCCATGAAGAAACAGTGTCAGAGGATGACCTCTTTGGGGAGATTAAGGGTAGCTCCAGTGCATCTGTGCTCTGACACACTTGCAGCCTTGAGGGGCTTCTGTGGGTGCTTTGTGCTGGGGGAGCCCTGGGTACCAGAGCACATTAGGTGCTTGCATTGGAACCGCACTAAGGACAGCCAGGATGTTCCACGTACTGAGAAGTCTCGTGGGAGGTTTCTGCCATGCTTCTTTCCTCAAAAATACAATACCAACACAAACGCTTGTTTTCCTGAAGAGTTTCTTATGAAAACTATCTTGGTGAGCATTTTGCAAGTGCAGCATTGTTTCCAGAGGGAGCTAGAGAGGTTTTTGGAGGAATATTGCCTTTCGTCGTTACAGAGCGTTTGAGTTGAACTGATAACTGATGAAAATTTCTTGCTACGTGTCAAATTTCTAGTCATGCTGGTTAGCATGTGTGAAGTGAGTGCAGTAGCTGATGCCGTTTCCTTAAGGAGAAGGGGTTCATTTTCCCCAGTAGGAGCCTGTTCTTTTTCATCTTAGATGGATATAGCGATAATGATGGAAAAGGTGAATACTTAGGTGCCTTGTCAGAACAGCAGAAGTACAAAGACCTCTTCCAGCACAGCTGTGCTGCTGCCCATGGGTTCAGCCCAGGTGCATCTCGCTGCCTGTGTTGTTTCAGTCTTGGCACTGCCAGAACTCTTGGCCTTCACTCAGCGGTGTCAGATCGGCATCCTGGGGTGTCCATATTCCCTAACAAGAAGACTTCACAGTAGCGTAGTCTCATGTTTAGACTTCCTGAATTGCTGACCTCATGCTTCAGGTACGTTTCTGAAGGTGCCTCACACTGTGGCTCAGACACCCACCTGCTGTTTGTAGCAAACACTCGGAACTGGCTCCCACCCAGCCTGAAAGGCTTGGGACAGATTCAGTGGCAGGTTTGTGTGTGTCTAATTAGTTTGCTTATAGTTCCTCACATCTGTTCAGTTCCTTAAACTTCACAGGAGGGACAGAGCTGTAATGCTTTCCCTTCAGTAGCATTTGTTCTATATTCAGTGCGGGAAGTAACTTGTTCCAAACTTGGGCTTGGGCCAGGAATTGTTCCCCTGAGGCAGAGATGTATACAACAACTCCTGGAGTATCTTACACCTACCATGGGAAAGAAGGTTCAAAGGCACACAGTTGTGATAAAACCAGTATTTAAATTCTGCCCACTTCATTTACTCATTTATTAACTCCAGAAGACTTGCTGAGAGAGGCTGACATGTCATCACTCTTGCTGGATGGTGAAACCAGAATGGCTGCTGTCTGGCTCGGGGACTCGAGGAAGCAGTTCCCCTAAAGCCAGGGCTTGATCCTGCACAGCTAGTACATTTTCGCTGAGCTGGGAGGTGAGGAGGAAATGTTTCAGAAACATGAAAAATCTGCAGATCTTTGCCCCTGCCTGTTTCAGCAGCAGTCTTCTGCTACTGTGCTGCTGATGCCAATGCTTAGCTATTTGTCTTGACAGTAGCATGTTTTTGTTGTCCATAATAGTAATAAATGTATCTTCTTTTTTTTTTCCCCCCAAGGCTTATTTCTGAATATATAACTAAACCCTTAAATGTGAACTTGCTATCAGTGAGCATATGTGTGTGTGTGGAGGGGGGTTTTTACCTTAGCTCTACTTTTCATCCTTAGTTTCATTCACAGAAATGCCTTTTTGGAAACACCTCCTGTTTGGAAAGTAATGCGGGCTCTTATATGGAAATTCAGAAACCAGCAGCTTTTCAACTGTATAGGGCAGGCCTGTGCTTTTATTGTAGTGTAACAACAGTGAGTGTGCGTCTTCTCTTTCAAAAAGCAAAATGTCACAGTCTCTCAGAGGTAGTGAAGTAGTAAGCATTTCTCTTCCTCACACTAGCTGGGTAACTGTGGGTGTGAGAAACCTTAAAAATGCCTTTGTGTGTCCAGTCTTCTGAATAAAAGTGCCTGTTCTCTAGCTGACTTGGCAACCATCATTTTTATTGGCACATGGGCTTGAGGGCTGGAGGCATGGGACTGCTAGTTCTGATACATAAAGAAAAATATTTTAAGGAACACTTGATTACAGTGTAGGGTGCTTTGCTTCTAAAAATGCCGAACAGTATTAATGTGTGTGAGAATGTGTGTATGGGAAAAATCCCTTCCTATTAAAAGATCAGACTGTGCCTCACTCCAGGGAGTGGGGGGACCGGCACAGGACCGAGCTTTTCAAATAATTGGTGTGGGAGGACATTTGGAGTTGGTAGGATTACAGTCCTCGGTTTTGGGGGTTTAGGGTTGGGTTGTTGGGGTGTGTTTTGTTGGTTTGGGTTTTTTTGCAAGAGCAGAATGTGTGTGCCCTGTGCTAATTGGGATTGTCCTTGACCTTCATAAAAAGCCCAGACCTGAACCCTTTGTCAAACACCAGTTTGGCCAGCATGCTTTCCTTCCCTGTTGACATCATCGAAGGGTCATTGTGCAGGACCGAGGGCTTGCTCAGCGCCGGCAGGATGGTGCAGCACCTCCGGTGATCTGGGTTTCTTTTCTGCAGTCACTGGGAGGGCAGCAGTCAATCGGAGAAAATCGAGCTGTACAAAATGCCTCTATATGATCTACCTGTAGACTTTTGCAGCTTTTTGCAGCACAATTGTGAATTGAGTTGTGCCTTTCTTTCACCAGGTGAAGGAATCGGATGGTGTGGTTAACGATGAGCTGCCGAACTGCTGGGAGTGTCCAAAGTGCAACCATGCAGGGAAGACTGGAAAAGTGAGTTTAATGGGAATAAGTGGTGCTGGAATGAGATACAAAATCTCAAGCATTCCCTCTGGCTTGTAGATATAATTTTGCCCAATACCAGCTTTTGATTTTGTGCTTAATTCAGTTGAGCTGAAGGAAATAAGCTGATGGCTTTCTGTCCTTTAATAACTTCTGTATTCTTCTCCCAAAACCTGGGGAAGATTTAGTTCAGTTCTGTGCGCTGCTGCCTGTTAATTTCTAAGATGAAAATACTTTTTTAAAAAAACAAAATGTAGAAGCAATTATGCAAAAAGTAAAGTGTCTGTTGGAATTAGGGAAACATTATTTCTTTGCAAACTGAGACAGACACTGCAAGCATGTAGTTACAAAAATAACTTTATGAAGGTTGAAACTACTTTACTCTTAACTCCTTCCTAATCATTTTGTCTGTTACAAAGTGATCAACCCACCAGTGTCGGAGGCAACTTAGATAAAGAGCTGAGAAAGGCATAAGATATAAAGTTTGTTTGTGTTTTGTGTCTCTTTGGCGTACAAGCAAAAGCGCGGACCAGGATTCAAATACGCATCAAATCTCCCAGGCTCATTGCTGAAGGAACAGAAAATGAACAGAGACAATAAGGAAGTAACAGATGCTGCAAAACGGAAAGGGGACTGTGAAGAAACTCCCAGGCGGAAATCAGAGGAACATTCCAAAAAGACTCCAGTTGACTCAATACTGAGGAGAAAGTCAGACGAAGTGCATCTGTGGAGGAAAAGGAAATTTGAGAAACCCCAGGAACCCACTATGAGAAAGCGGGTATGACAAAACACTCTTTTCATGTACTTACACAGATGCGCGTGGGCTGGTTGGGGCTGATGTCTCTTGCCTTCTGGCTTATAGCTCATCTTGAAATCCCAGATTGTTACAAAAGAAGCGGCGATGTTTTACCTTGCTTTCTGAAAACTGCTAGTCTAACAGGACAGTAGTTTGAACTGCGACGCTCGGGTTGACATTCAGAGGCTGGAAACACTGGGCGACGGCTGTTGTTTTATTCAAAATACTAGAAATCCCACTTTAACTGAAAAGCTTTTACAAGGTGCTTGGAGCAGGAACGAGGTGAAAATAAATTTTTAATGGAAACTTTTTTCATCTTTACCCACTTGGTGGCGCATGGCAGCTTGTTTTGTGGCTGGTTCAGGGATGTACAATGCTCGTAACCCATCAGAGGACCTTTAGAAATGACACCTTCTGTAGCCTGCAGAGAGGCGGAGCCGCTCACAACAGCGATGGAGACAGCTTTTCCCTGAATTTAACAGTCAGGGCTCTTGGGCCAGGCAGGGACACTACGAATTATCTTGTGGATTGTGACATATGGTACTTGGCATATACAGAAATGCTGGTTTGTAGAGGTAGAAATGAGGACCTAGATTTAATGTGTCTCACAAGTAAACGGCTGATGGCTTTAAAATCAGAATCGGTGGCTGGTTTTGTATTGCATGTGTAGTTCACGAGGAGTGGCAGTCAGTCTGCCCCGCGAGGCTTGACAGCGGGAACGCTACAGTACAGTAAATGTAGGGATTGGGGTTGCTTTGGTGGAATGAGAACGCGAAATTCATTATAGCAGTTTATGCATATCTGCTTTCTGGCCATGCTTTCCTTTTCCCATCCCTATGGACTTGCTGCAGTGTTTATGGATGGCTTGAATCGCTCCATGAAAGCCCCCCAGTGCGTGAGGAAGGCACTGTGGATCACCAGACCTTCATCAGACAACACAACAAATGTCGTGTTTTGGGGTTTTTACTTTTCTTTCTTCCAACAGCTAAAACTTGGAAAAGAAGAGAAACTCTTCAGGAAGAAGGTACTTTGCCTTTTTAATTAGATGTGTTCTCAACCCCTTTTAGTCCCCTCTCCTCATGTGAGCTGAATGGTGAGCCAGTTTCTCTATCAGTCATGTCTTTGTGTCACTGCAGGCATTTTTATTACCACATTTACATCGTGAAATTACAGAATATCTCTCTCATGGAAACCTTAACGCTCCAGGATAGTTTAGCTGCAATGTCTGGTTTTATATTTTCTGTTCCAGTGTCCCGTATTAAAATACAGCAGCAAGCTGTGTTTTGATGACCCAAGGAATAAAATTCTGTTTCTATACTGGTGTTTCACTCTTCCTGTGTGGTTGAATCTTGCCCCTGCCACACAGCCCCTCAGCAGTCTGTGCCACAGCGCGTCCCTGGAGTCCCCCGCTGACACCCCAGGGAGCCAAGGGCAACCTGGCACTCAAGTACTGGTGACCTCTCACGTCTGGCACAATAACAGAAGTCAGATACCTTTAAACTAAGCGCTCGTCTGTACCCTGTGTGAAGGATCCTGCAAGCTGACAGTAGTCTGATGTTGTAATTTTTTTTTTTTTATTCTAACCTGTCATTAACTTACTGTGACCTCTCCCTTTATAATATGTTAATTTAAAGACAGGGTGATCAGCTTTCAATGCTGTGCGCCGCAATCTGAAGCATAGGAGCACATCCACTGACTTGATTCAATTAGTTTATCGCGAAAGCACAGACCTTCTGATATAACAAGTGTGTTCACAGCGGTTCACCTTTTCTTGCCAGTCCAGATCTCTTCTTATTAGAGCTGTTTCATTTTAACAGTTGGTGGCTTCTTTCTTGCTTGTAGTGATCAGATTAGACTTGAAGTTGTCCCTGGTCTTAGTTTGTACGTCTCTTATCTGGTGTGCATCAAAGAGAGATTTGATTAATGCAAGCAAGTGAAGTGCAGTTTGCTGTTACGAACAGCGACTGGGGCGGGGAAGGAGGTGCCAGCTCTCCCCTGTCAGCCTGCGTTGTGTCGGAGATCTTGTCGGCGTGAGGTCTCGTCAGGCTAACAGTGTGTCAGACCTGTCGGTCACATTCCCTGTTCTGCATGCACCGGAGGTGGGGGAAGCTTGAGAAGACGAGCAGAGTTTAGGAGGATGTAAAGGAGCAGCTGAAGCATAATTAAACAAGGCTGTGAGTAGCCAGCAATAAGGGCCACAGCAGCACGACCGCAGTGCGAGTTGGTGATTTGCGATTCAGGAGGTTTCGTAAATGGACCTTTTGGCCATTGGGCAGGAACGCCAGGTGTCAGCGTTTAAAGTGGGTGCCCAGTGAATGTGTCCCAAGCCTGGTTTCTTCTGGCATGCTGGGGAAAAAGCTGTCTGTGGTATGCTGCTTATCTTCTGTGTATAAACTGTCCACTGTGTAATGAGTAAGGCCCTTAAATCTGCAGGATTATGCATGGTGAATAAATGCATTTATCACTCTCTCGGAGTCCAGAGAGCCGATAGCTGGACTCCTCATCCATGATGGTACTTGAACTTGATACCTTTGGCTGGTGAATGTACCCTTCTGCTCGGATGGGTGGGGCCCAGCACTGGCAGGCAGCTCAACCCCCCCGGGCAGGGCTGCCTGCGCGGAGCATCAGCATGCAAAGTATTGCTGAGCGCGTTCTTGCTCAAGTAGTCAGCCCTTGTCTCTTCCTTTTCAGAGGCGATCGTGGAAGGCTCCAGATGACCGAACCTCCATGATCAAACCCTTGCGGCGCCTCAAGCAGGAGCCAGAGGATGACCTGCCAGAAGCACCTCCCAGGTCCAAGGATAGTGACCAGTCACGGTCCAGCTCGCCCACTGCAGGTCCCAGCACGGAAGGCGCCGAGCCCAGGGACAAGAAGAAGTTCAAGATGAGGCGGAAAAGGCGGCTTCCCAATAAGGAACTGAGCAAGGAGCTCAGCAAGGAGCTCAACCAGGAGATCCAAAAAACCGAGAACAGCCTTGCCAATGAGAATCACCAACCCATCAAATCTGAACCTGAGAGCGAGAATGAGGAACCTAAGCGTGCTTTGAACAACAGCGAGAGACTCCATAGGTTCAGCAAAGGGTTAAATGGGACTCCCCGGGAGCTGAGGCACCAGCTCATCCCCAGCCTGCGAAGCACACCTCGGGGAATAACCCGGCCACCGCCTTCGCTCTCTCCTCCCAAATGCATTCAGATGGAACGGCACGTTATCCGGCCGCCTCCCATCAGCCCCCCTCCGGACTCGCTCCCCCTGGATGATGGGGCAGCCCACGTGATGCAGAGGGAAGTCTGGATGGCTGTCTTTAGCTACCTCAGTCATAGAGACTTGTGCATCTGTATGAGAGTTTGCAAGACCTGGAACAGATGGTAAGGAGGGTGGGAAACCGAGCTAGGTCTAATGTGTAGTGGGATGGACTTGAAAGGGAAGTGGGTGATGGAGGCACTTAATGCTTCCTGGAAGAGGTGTGCGGGTCGTCACTGGAGTTCTCTTGAGCCCGAGGAGAAGGGGTGAGCAGCAGTGTCTGGAGAAGTAGCATGTCTTCTGGTGCTTTCTCAGAAACAGCAGTTCCCAGCATTTCTGATGGGAATTGTGTGTGCATGTGTGTCAGCGTCAGCCTGCCGGGGCTGTAACGCCCCAGAGCAGCCTGTTCTGTAGTTAGGCACCACGGTGTTCTTGCCTGCTAGAACTGCCAGTCTAGGTCATGCTAAGTCTGGGTGTCACTCTGCCCCCAGGACTTGCTGACTGCTAACGCAGTTGTTTGTTCAGTTCGGCTGTTAAGTATCTACTGAGATACAGTGACGATCTCCCAGTGCCCTTGGTGTTCTCCTCAGAAGGTCTGCGCTGATTGTTTCCCTGTAGAGGGTACATGCAGAGCGATCCCGTTCGCTGTGTTCCGTACTGGCAGAGCTGATGGAGGAATCCTTCATTATCCTATTTACTCACAGCGTGTCCGTTGGGTGCCCGGGGTACCAGAGTGTGAACGTTGACACCGTCGGTGACTGTACGGCAGCAGGAAGCATTAGTGGACAGATTTATCTGTTTCACTGAAATCACAGTAAAGTCTCTTGTTGGCTGTCGTCTCAGATTCAACTGTAATGTGCACACAGATGGGCAAATTGTGAGAGAGGCTCCTTTCTAGCACAGTCTAGGAACAAACTGGGTAAATGGCAGAAAGGTTGAGAGGTTGATAATTCGGTGCAAGACGATGTGTGTGGAGTGCCTCCTCTGTGGGCTTCTTGGTGTCCCAGAAAGCTGGTAACCGCCTTTTCCATGTCAGTGCAGTATTTTCTAGTGGAAAAAATGACAAAATGCAGAATCTTGCGTACTTGTTAGGACTTCTTGCTTGTTGCCCTTAAAGAACCACTAAGAGAGAGTAAAAACGCAGAAGGCACATAGATAGGAATAACATAGCAGCACAGTATGGGAGAGGGGGGGATCTGTTTTACAAAATTCACTGGTTTTAAGGAAGGAGAGCACAGGGGAAGTTGGGACAGTAATATTTAAAACCAGTCTTTCTATTCAAAAGGTAAGCAAGAAGGTGTGGCTCGTATTCAGGCTAGAAAACAGATTTTAGTAGGTGCTGTGATGATTTAAAATGGGATCCAAAGTTGTTGACGCTTGTAATTCTGTAGAAATAATTCCATGCTTCATTGCATGATGTATTTGATGGAGAAACTTCATACCTATGTAACATTGTGTGATGTTGTGCTTATCTTAATATTGCTCAGCCTTACTTTTGCTGTTGTCAGTTACATGCTGTAGTTCTCCCTGCTGTTCGATGACACCTCTTAAAGTCTTGCAGAAATCAAAACAAGTGCCAAATTAAGTGCTGTTGGCTTTTTTCTTTTTTTCTTTCTGGGTAGGTGCTGTGACAAAAGATTATGGACCAAAATAGATTTAAACCATTGTAAATCCATCACTCCACTTATGCTTAGTGGCATTATTAGGAGACAGCCTGTAACCCTTGATCTTAGCTGGACAAATATATCTAAAAAGCAGCTGAGTTGGCTTATCAACAGACTGCCAGGTAAGTGATGGTTTTTTGACCACTTCACTGAATTTAGTCAAACCAGTTTGTATCTAATCTCCGAGGAATGTCTACAGGGATCCGGGTATCCTAGGAGAGGAGTAGATACATAGGAATGACGCATTGGCGGGTTAAGATGGGCCCAAAATTAGTTATGTTGTGACTAACTTGACATGTTAGGTAAACTAATCGGAGGCAGGTCTTCGTCAGCAGGTAACGTTGCTGCGGAAAGTGCCTGTGCTGACGTGATTAGCGCGGGGGGCAGCGGGGGGGCTGCTCTCAGCCACAGTAATGAAGTTCCAGATGGTGGGAGAGAGGGAGAGCTGGGCAGGAGGAGGCTTGCAGGGTCCCTCCTTGCCCCGGAGTGATGGGATTGTTCGTCAGAGCGGCACTGGGCTTCACCCGGCCTGCGCGTGGTAGCGGACATCACCACGGATGTGTGTCTGGGTGGGCTGCGTGCTCCAACTTCTTCTGTATCCGCAGGTCTACGAGACCTGCTGTTATCAGGGTGCTCATGGATAGCAGTGTCAGCACTTTGTAGTTCCAGTTGTCCTTTACTCCGAACTCTGGACGTGCAGTGGGCAGAAGGCCTGAAAGACGCACAAATGAGAGACCTCTTGTCGCCACCCACAGATAACCGGCCAGGTAACAGGCGGGAGGAGCACGCGGGAGACCTGTCCCAGCTGTTCTGTGGCACGTTCTGCTGCTAGTCCCCCTCGGAGGAAAGGGGCAGAAACCCCCGCAGCTAGCGCCGGTGGGCTTCTGGGCTTTGCTGACGTGCGAGGTGTTCACAGTAGTGACTTGCAACACCTCCTCGCTGGAAGCCACTGGGTAACGAGTGATGTTCTCTGGCTGCTGAACAGTCATCTGAGCCACTGTGCTGGTTTTCTGTCTGACTTTCTTCTCTTCAGGCTGCAACGGGTGTACTTTAGAGAGTATGGAAACACTTTCTTCCAGTTCAGGGAAGGAGCAGTTCTGTGGGTCATGCCACATTCGCCCGGATATCAGCTCAGGTGAAATTTTGAGCAAATCAGATCTGCTTTCTGGCATGCACTGCACAGCCTACTGCTTATTCCCGACTTGTAATTCCGCTGGGCCCCTGCAGTTACTTTCATCCCTTTTGTTTTGAAATCGGGAGGTGGCTTTGTCCACGTGCCTGTTCCAAAAATATGATGTCCCCTCCAAAGCTCCAGACAGGCAAAAGCGTCTGAAGTTGACGTAGGGCAGCAGTGTTGTGTGTCACAGTGCATTTCATATAGATCTGCAGATGTTTGCAATTTGGGGTGAGGCTTTCGGGAGTTGACCCGCTGCCTCCGCTTTCTAGGTCAGATCGACAACCGGAGTAAACTACGGAACATAGTTGAGCTGCGTTTGGCTGGCCTGGATATTACAGATGCTTCTTTGCGGCTGATCATAAGGCACATGCCTCTGCTCTCCAAACTCAATCTTAGTTACTGTAATCATGTGACAGATCAGTCTATTAACCTGCTGACCGCGGTTGGAACCACCACGCGGGATTCGTTAACAGAAATTAATTTATCAGGTAAGCAACACAGGCGCAGGGGAGGGGGGAGGATGGGAATCGCCCGTTGGCGTTAGACTTGGGTGAACGCTCACCGTTGGAAGTGGTGTTGCCCAGCTCTTCCCCCACCCCGGCGTAACCCCCCAGGACTCGGTTTCAGGAGCTGGGTGTGCTGCCGGCGTGCGTGACCCCGCAGGCGCCAGCTGACAGGGCTGCCGCCTCCGGTTCAGGAGCCGCCCGTTGCCTTGTACAGCGCTTGCCCTCCGCGGGCGACTTTCCAAGGCCACCACTCCGCGCGTCCGGCCTGCTTTGCTTTATCTCATCGGTTATGCGGCAGAGCCGCGGGGGTCGGAGAACGGCGATGGGGCTGGCCGGGCGATTTCGCTGTCGGCGCAGCACCGGAGGAGCGGGAGGGACTGACCGCAGTCGGGATAAACCGTCCTCATGCCGCAGAACAAACCGGGACACGCTGCTAAATTTCTCCCCCTTTGTGTTTTTCTTTTTTTCCCCCGGCAGACTGCAATAAGGTTACTGACCAGTGCCTGTCTTACTTCAAACGTTGTGGAAACATCTGCCAGATCGACCTGAGGTACTGCAAGCAAGTGACAAAAGAAGGCTGCGAGCAGTTCATAGCGGAAATGTCAGTAAGTGTTCAGTTTGGGCAAGTGGAAGAAAAACTTCTGCAAAAACTGAGTTAGTTAAAGGACATGTGTAAATACTGGGGCGGGGGGGAAGGGACTAAGAACACGTAGGGATTTTATTTTCAATTGGGAACTTGGAATATTGGAAAACTACCGCGATTGGATTTTACAACTCTTGGCGAGAACAACGTGAAACTACCCATGTTAAGAATTTCAACTTGTGCCACTAATTCAGTCTACCTGGGATGTCCTGCACTGGCTCTTATGCAAATCCATAAGGCGACTGTTACTGATGATAACTGTTCACACCCGGACAACGACTGATCTCCAGGAAATACTGTTATTTAAAGTACCACAGCATGTGCTTGGTAGTGTAAATTTGATTTCTGCTTTTCATTTCTTAAAACAACAAGAAGAAAAAAAAGTCGGTGTCATTAAAAGTGGACCACGCACTGCATTTCTGCCTTCTTAACACGTTTTGTTTTGTTACATCTTACATTATGCAGAACTATTTTTGTACAAAAATTGTTTAAAAATTATTTATGCAATGTTTGAATGCATTACCAGTGTTTCGGTTTTGATTGCCAATTTTTATCTTTACTTATGGTAGGCGAGAACTTAACCTATACTTCGTAGACAGTATCTATCTACAAACGTGCCCAGGTCAGGAAAAGTAGGTTAATACTTTCAACTTAAAGCATGTTTTAATGGAAGTTTATATCCTGCTTTGTATACTTCAGAAGTGACATAAGCATGTTGTGGAAATAAGGTGTAAATTATAGTTGAAGTAAAACACTTTGCCAAGTTTTATCTGTATAGAAATCACCTTTTTCTCAAAATTTTAAAAAAAATTCCAATTTCAGCTTTTGCACATAGGAGGGTTTCACTCTGTAGCATGAGCTCTTGTACTCAATATAAAATTAATTTATACAGTGAGTCCAGCCGTAGAATAAATGGTCAAACGTAGTCTCTCTTTCTTTGAAGTGTGAGTTGAGTTCTCATTTAAGGTTTATAACATGGTTATTTCCTGATTGTAAAATTCTGCATTCATAAGTGCCATTGTTGTATGGTGTTGTTTTCGTAGACCTTCCTGATGCAGTTTTACCTTTGTTGAATTTGTATAAACAATTGTACAAAAACGGGTGCTGGCTCTGTGGGTTTCTGTTCCACCGTGGGCGTTGTTTTGGGGGAAAGCTGGGTTTGGGCTTCAGGGCTGGGGAGCGACTGCTGGGAGCTGGTGACAGTTTCTAGCCTTGGTGAAAGCTGGGATGAGCAGGAGGAGCCCCTCTTCCTGCCATGCTGCAAGCAGTACTTCCACAGCACTGTGCCTTTATGGTGTACTGAGGAGGGGATAAAATGTGCATCCATGCCTTCCTCAGGCTGGAATCTGCCCAGGTTAGCCTAGAGGAGTATTTCTGTGGCTCAAGACTGCTAAAGCTGGAGCTGAATAACCAACAGCGCTCCTGAGCTGGTTAAGAAAAGAGACGGAGGCTGAGAAAGCCCATCGCAAATCTTTATTATGCTTGTGTGGCTAATGATCAGCATGGAAATAACATAGAGGGTACGTTTTTCTTCATTAGCTTACCCACTGAACAGAGACTCCAGGAATTAAGTACCATTAAAAAGTTACTTCTAAAAAATAAAGCCATTGAGAAGTTTGCTCCCTTCTGAAAAATAACCAGCAATGTCTCTAAGCTGTGTATCTTAATTGGAGGAGGAGGAGGAGCTACTTTCTTTTTCTCAAGCCAGCTTAATTTTTCACATAAAAGGCAAGCATGGGCGTGACAGTGGAGCAGAGGTAAGAGCGCTCAGGTCCTACATCCTCAGCAAAACATGTCCCCATCTCTGTTAACTTAGCTAGCGTGTGGGAAAGAAAAAGGACAAACTGTAGCTTCATTGATCAACCCTGCATAGAGGATACAGGGCAGACTCAGTCCTTCCCCACCTCCTTTTTTTTTTTAAACAGTGAACTTAATCAAACTCTGTCATGGCCATGCTTGGCCAGAGGGAGCCTGGCCCCAGAACAGGAGCTATTCTTGCCGCTATCTTCCCCAAGTCGCCAGTCATGCCTCAAGGATGGTTAAAATGCTTGCTTCAAGAGGAGCCTCACCCCTGCCACCGAGCCCAGCCAGGGACTGGGCCAAGGGCCGACCAATGCAGGTCACTCGGCAGCTACTGGGAAGCGTGGTTAATAGTGACTCAGCCTTGGGTAAAAGTCTGTGAACATGAGGTTTTAAACAAATACCATGTTCCCTTTTCCTTAACGAACCCCTCCCTGCTGAAGGTTAGTAACACCATACATTCCACATGTTAGCAGCAAGTAGTTTCATGACCCTGATTAGTATTCACAGTAACATCAGGCTGTCGGCACATGGCATACAATCATCACACATAATAATAGTTACAATAGGCATGGGTGGCTTAAGGACCACAGTACTATGGTTTACTATACCCCTTTTTAAAAAAATATTTTCTTCCTAAACTAAAAAACACTTAGTAATCAGTATTTGGACACCACGTGGCAGAGCCCTGTGACAGGACGGAGCTTTTTGTACATTTTACAAAGAACGGCCGAGGCCGTACATGTGTAATGGCAGACATTCTGAACGAAGCAATCGGCATCAAACAGCTTGCTTAAGGGCTTCTGTGCAGGTGCAGTTCATGGCAGTGCTTTCTACAATCGTATTTTATACTGTTAACACTGTCGCAGGGACAGTGTCGGAACAGTTACATTCTAAGTTCTGTAAAAGCTGAATATTCAACAGATACATTCGCTGCTTCTAATACACTAGACAACGTAACCCGCTAATACAGTTGAGGAAAGGTGTTTTCTCACCCCTTGCTGAGTACTGAATGCGATAGATAAGAGTTGCTAATTCTTCAGAAGAGAGCAAGAACTGCTGTAAACAGTTTGACTCAAACAGTTTGTGGGTTTATAAGGTAAGTTGGGCAGTGCTATTACGGTACACGCAGGCATCGTGTTGTACTGCCCAACTGTAGGATTTCAGCACGCTGTAGAAAAATGTTTCACAAACTTCTAGATCCTGATGTTCAAAATGTTGCATTTACCGAGAACTAAAAAGCTGACATATGCCCCAGGGTTCGGCACTCCTGCCCACAGATATGCCAGAAGGGCGACTATAAAATCCATTTTTGGCCTCGGTTTAGGATTTGAACACATGCACGGCCCGTACAACGTACTGTCGGCAGATGGGGCACTCGCTCATCCTCTTGCCGCACTTGGTGCAAGTGACCATGTGGCCGCACTCCAGCAGGACGCAGTCGATCACCGCATCCATGCAGATCCGACACAGGTTATCGTCGTTGTCGTTCAGCTGCATCTTCTCACCCTCTGCAACACACCAGAGAGGGAGGTCATGCATTCAGGCCCTGGAAAGCGAGTTACCTTCTAGCTCAGGCAACCACTAAAATACACAGACAGCTAATTTAGCATGAAGTAGTGCCGCTCCCTGTTCACAATAGTTTTTCTAACCGAAAGCTAAAAATTAATCTATATTCCTTCCAGAAAAAACCCCAAAGAAACAAGAACTAGAAAATCCCTAAGTGAACATCCAATATTCATCTTCATTCTTTAAACTCTGCAATCACTTTCACTTCAGAACGTAATAACTGTGAAATAATGTGCTGGATTAAAATTCAGAGCATGCTGATTTTCCAGCTCTGAGCTTACTTCATTTGGCAGAACACTTTCCTCAGAAGATTAAACACAATAATAAGAAAGCAGACTTAGAAGTGGAAGCCTTAAGTAGGTGGTGAAGATGGCGGAACTCAACAAAACCTGTCAAGTTCCACTGCAAATAGACAACATCCCCTATCAATAACCAAATGTTCTGTCGGACCATGTTGGGGGGAAAAAAAAAATTTCTAAGTTTAAAGCTTGATTTCAGACAGGTGTTCAGTTCTAGTTTATGACCAAACCAAGGCTCTCACTTAAGCCACATTTTGACATTCACCAGCAGCCCCCCCACCTTCACAATCCTTCTCCACCCCAATTAGCTGATTATTTCACACCTGATGATGACAGCGCCTGCAGTGTATGTGCTGGCACAATCTGGCTGTGAAGTGGCCCAGGGCTAGTAAGTTTTCCAGTTACCACAGTCCCCTGTTCTTTACAGTCTGACTGTGGGATGCAGAAATGAAGAGCCAGGCAACCATTTTCCACGCTGGTTACAACATCAAAAAGTTGCTCAGATTATACTTTGTGAACAGGAACCGGTCGGTGGATGTACTACAGTCACACAAGTGACAGACTCCAATTGCCGAGTGTAACAGAGGGCAGAAGAATACTAGTCACTGAGCTGCAGCCACAGAACCACCTTATCATGAAACATGGACTGAGACCAAACCACTTGAACTTGGACTTCTGCCACCGTAGCTTTTATTTCTCTTACCACAGTAAAAGACCTGAATTGCTTTGGTCTGTTGACAGCTACTGAGGAGCTCTCTTGCTGATACCTTGTGAAACCTAATAAAGGACGTGGAGGTGCCAAGTTTCATGTTCTCCAAGGAATTGGTTCTCAGTTGTGCAATTTTACCTTCACCATGAAAGCTGAGCTCTCTGAGCTTTGGAAAAAAATCAGAAGTCTCAAAAAACCCAACACAATCCTGGAAAGCTTCATTTACTCACTAGAGCCATACTCGACTACTCTAGATGCAGCTCAAGTTGTTGAAACACACTTTCCAGTTGTTCCAGCTGAGCAGACCAGTTAGATACCAAGGCCTGCTGTTGGCGGAACCAGCTACTGGAAACCAGAAAATAAGTAGTCTTAAGAAAGTGAGAATTAAATATAAACCTACGTGTCTTGTGGTTTTCCTCACTCTCTCTGTATAGTCTGCTCACTTTTTCCACAAGTTCCCATTTTTCACAGCATCCTGAGTAGTTGACAAAGTTACACGCAAGTATTTCCTTCAGCTGTCGAACACTCAACCCTTCGATGTCTTCCAGACTTGAAATGTCAGACAAAGATGCCCTCGCTCGCTTTCTGGACAATCCGGGGGTCTGAAAGACATCAATTTTATTTTTTTAACTGTCCCGGTAAGTTCAGAGCAGCAGATCTGGTGCTACATGAAGCTGCAGCAGCTTGGGTAAAGTTCTATTCTTTTTAAAACAAGTATTTGCAGATACACATTGCTAGACATGGCTAATTCTGAAAGAACTAGAGTGTGACAGTAAATGTTGACAGAGATCTGAAGACTTTATGGTGTCCCATGCCAAAAATTCGTTCTCTGGATAGTTCTTATCTCACCTGCTCTTCTGCGCTTTCTTCTTCTTCATTATTTACAGAAGATGTTTCCGTTTGTCCCTGTGTACAAAATGAAACTAATCAGGATACAAACACATTATCCCTTATAAAATATTTTCCTTTGTACCAAACTGATCACAGATGACAATGGCACGTCAAAGTTTCAATTGCTACCAATCATCATCAAATTAGGTCACCTCTATCATCTAACTAGTAATCTTATCTAGTCATCTTCTGTTTCAGGCGAGAGATACAAATGCCATTTTTCCTGCTACCCTGAACCGCACCAATTGGCATTTTATTTTAAAGCGATGCATACCTCTTAAAAAAAACCAAAAAAGCAGCTACGCTATACCATAAAACACATGTTAATTATTGTACCCGTAAAGGTGTTCCATTTCCTGTGCTTCCCCTTCTGTTTGCAAGTTCTCCTTGAGACGACACC